CCTTCTTTTCATCAACATGAAATTCATAGTTGAGTCTTTTTCACCTTACAAAACTCCTCCTTCAGCTGCTATCCTATCTTCTGCTCTCCTAGGCAGCCAAAGTTAGAAGGGTTACCTGGGCTTGCTTCATCAACTTCTTTACCTTCCCCTTCCATCCTCCTCCTCAACATTGCGTGGAAGTTGCTTTGGCCAAGGTCATGGATGTTCCCCACATTATTTAGTCCATTGGACTTTTTTCTGTCCAATGGACTAAACATGTTTTGGGCACTGTTTACCCTCTATCCTTCTCAGAGTCCTTTCCTGGGTTTCCTGACACCACTGTCTTTCAAGTTCTCTCTTGCCTTCTGCCATTTCAGTTATGGAGTCTTGCTCTTCTCCCAACCCCCTCAAGGTGCCATCCCAAGACAACTGTGCCTTGCATTCTGTACTCTTTCCTAGATGGTCTCATCAATCCCCATGGCTTTATGTTTTGGTTGTCACTGAACTACTGATGACCCACACATACACGTCTCTCTGCAGACCACCTTCTGAGCTCCAGACTCATGTATCTAATTATCTTTGAATAACCCAAGAGATGTCCAATCTCTTGGGTCTCAAAAATTAGCATGCTCAAAGCTGAACCAAGAGTGATATATTTTTAGTGCACATGTTTAAATGAACTTGATCATAGTTATATTTTTTAAATGTACCCTTCTGATCAAAACCCTTCAATGTCTACCCATCTGCTAAGTAAAAGCCTACGGCATTATAATGCCTACAGCACCCTGCATAAACCCTCTCCACTCATCTGTTTTCCTGACATTATCTCCTACTACTGTCCCACAACTCACCACCCTAGCCATGCTCTCAACGCAGGGGCCTTTGCACTTCCTTTTCCTATTTTTCCACCTGGTATAAGCACTCATTCTCTCCCATCCCTGAAGACTTCAGTCAAATATCACCTGTTGGTCAGGCTTTCCCTGACAACTGTACATAAAATTGCAACACACGCACTGATCTAGCATTCTTTAACCTCTTTTCCTGATTTCTTTGTCTTTATAACACTTATCAATATTGGACATACTATATGTTTTATTGTCTACTTTCCTCCATAGATTGTAGACTACATGGCAGGAATTTTGGTCTTCTTATTGCTTTATTCCTAATGCCTAGAACAGAGTCGGGCACATAAAATCAATCAATAAGTAACTGTGGAATAAACAAATGAATCTCCAAACTTGCTTTCCATCATTTCATTAAATGGTACCTCCGTTGACCCAGCTGCTCAATACAGTTTTGACTCAACTCATTTGCTTTTGCCCCACATTAAACCATCACTCAGCCCTCCTGCCATCTCCAAAAATCATCTTCATCTCCCACCTCCCATCACTTAGTTAAGTCTTATTCATCTTTCAGTTCCAGCTACACATCATTTTTACAGGCCACATCTGTAACATTTACTTTTAAATACCCAACTAGACCTAATGCATATCTGGTTCATACTAAGTGTCCATCAAGTATTTGTTGAATGAATAATGGTGTTTCTCAGAAATGCCAGATTAGGTCCACTGGCTCTCTATTGTTATCACACTCTGTAAATTTCCATACAACACTCATCCCTCTTTTCAATAATTACTTAATTTGTTATCCTTCTTCTTCACTAGACTATTAGCTCCCTGAAAACAGAAATCTATAGAAAGGTGGGAATGGACAAGGAAAGGTCCCAAAATACAGATAGTACTGGCCTGACTATGGAAGGGTCATGCTGGCAATACAAGGAAGTCATCTGAATAGGCTGAGGACAGAGCTGGATTACAGAGGCATCAGTCCAGAGAAAAGGACCTCATTCCATGTTTTGAAACCGAAGGGGAAAGGGGAGTATCATAATGTAGGCATATTTGATCCCATACTTCTATGTAAATCAATTACAGCACTGGTTAAAGAATAATTTGGCTTATTAATCACTAAAATTCATCTAAGGCATTATTCTTTTTTTTTTTTTTTCTTTGAGACGGCGTCTTGGCCAGGCTGGAGTGCAGTAGGGCAATCTTGGCTCACTGCAACCTCCACCTCCCGGGTTCAAGTGATTCTCCTGCCTCAGCCTCCCGAGTAGCTAGGATTACAGGCATGCACCACTATGCCCAGGTAATTTTTTGTATCTTTAGTAGAGATGGGATTTCACCACGTTGGCCAGGCTGGTCTCAAACTCCCAACCTCGTGATCCACCCTCCTCAGCATTGCAAAGTGCAGGGATTACAGGCATGAGCCACCATACCCGGCCCATTTTTTTAACTTATGAATTTCAAAAACTTCTAATTTCAAGAATGTATAGTCTCCTGGATATCAAACTACAGCCTAATTGCTCTAGTAATATACTTGATTAATTTATACGTGGTTTACTTGCTAATTTAGAATTATATCTAGGTAGATAGAGATTTATGTGCATACACACACACAAACACTCATTTTATAGATGAGAAAACTGACATAGCAGGATCTTTTATTTACCTCAAGATTACATACTTCGTAAGCAATTGAGCCAAGATTTAAACCGAGGTCTATGTGACTTCAATATTCATGCACTTTTGCTATTCCATAATGCCCCCATCATATGATATAAATTCAGAGTGAAAATATTTATGTAAAGAATTATGATAAAATGAACACAAATTAATTTAGCCCAATACAAAGTTTTATGATAGCTCATGAATATATTTAATATTAATTTGCTCACAAATGATGATAGAAATGTCTACTATGAGTATCTGCCAAGTATTCTTTGACCTTTTGCTAAATATAAATGGTAGAGCTATTATCTTTAACATAAATGTATGTCCTATTTTCACTAACAGTGACCCACACCAAAGCCTAAGACAGCTTTATTTGACTCTGACCTCTACAACTCAAAGATAAACAAGAACAGGATTGAGCCATCTTCCCTTTGTTGTGCCCCACAGTACCCTTTGATTCTTGTTGAATTAATAAATAGTTTGGGATGAGGAGAAAGCAGCAACAAGCTCATCTACCCACTTCCATTTCCAGCACAGGCTAATTATCAATAACAAGCCATAGCCTTAACTGTTCCTACATTCCAGAAATATATCATCAAAGGGCTGTACATATGTATGAAGAACCCTAAATCTGCATTTTGTTATAATCAATTTGGTCACTACAAGTGATTTGTAATTTGATCCTTAGTGACACCTATTTGATTTACTTCTTACCACCTGTAGGAAATTCATGTCTGTGAGCAAAAAGTTACAAAGATTTTCAGAAGAGTATTATAATCAACAAAAATAAGAAAATAAATAAATAATTAGTATAGGGATAGGCATACTAGAGAATAGTTCAAAGTCTACAAAACGTTATGTTTATAGTCTTTTTAACTTTTGATTATGAAAAAAATCTTGTCATTATGTTAAATAATAATAAAACTAATATTTATAGATTATTATAAGACAGCTATTCTTGTAACAGCTTTATACATATAAACTAATTTAATCCCTAAAACAAATTTTACAAGGTAAGCACTATTACTATCTCCATTTTACAAATGAAAAAAGTTCAGCACAGAGAAATAGGAACTTGATCAAGATCTTCAAGCATATTAGGTGTTAGAGTCAGGATATAAATCCAGATACAGCACTTGAGAACCCACACTTAACAATTTATATAGAAGGTAAAATTGTATGGACTATTATAACTATTTAAATATATATTCGCTTGCATAAAAAGAAAATACTGGATGGGAATATAATTTATTACACGGGAAATTTTTTAATTTCTTCATTATATTTATCTTTCTTTTCCACAATTTTATAGTTGTCATGTTTTATGTTTATAACCAGGACAGAACAAGAAGTAGTATTTGAAAAGTAAATGAAAACAAAGAAGTCCATGTTTTGAACAGATGCCTTGGCTCAACTGAGTAATTAACTTCAAAACTCACACACTATAGTCACAAATAATCTATATTTGAATAAGTGCTATGAAAAAAGAAGAGTTTCTTGCTGGTATAATCTATGTTCAGAGCTGAAAGAGACCTTAGTGATCATTTAGACCAGTTTTCTCAAGGTGTGGTCCCCAGACCAACAGTGTCAACATCACTTTGGAAATGCACATGTAGGGGCCCTGCCTAGATTCACTGAATCAAAAGTTCCATGGATGGCACCCAGAAACCTGTGTTTTCACCCAAGTCCTGCAGGGGTTTCTGATGCACACTCAAATTTCAGAATCATTGACCTAGGCTTATGGTTCTCAGCCACAAAATCAGAATCACCTGAGAGTTTTTAAGAGTCTCAGTATCTGGACTGCACCAACAGAGATGCAGAGTTAACTGTTTTTAAATGAGTCTGTCAGTGTTTTTAACTGCTCCTTATGTAATTTAGCCAGAACCACTGATTTAGTCCTTTACTACTCATAGCATGGTCCTCAGGCCCACAGAGTTGGCATCCACTGAGAGCTTTTTAGAAATGTAGACTCTAGAGTTCCACTCCAGCCCTGCTTGAATCAGAATCTGCATTTAAACAAGATCCCCAAGTGGTTGATATATACATGCAAGTTTGAGAGGCACTGAACACTGTCCTCATTTTACAGAGGAAAAAACAAATGAGGCCTAAAGAGTTAAGATCATTTTCCCAAGTTCTCACTGCTGGGGGATGGGAGAGGGAGATGGCAGGAGGGGCAAGAACAGAAGAGTTGAATTCAAACCCAAGACGCTCGAAACTTCAACTGCATTCTTTCTGTTATACTATGTTGTAAAGCTTTGGATTTGATGGCTCTTTCTTTTTTTCCCCTTTCCCCCACCTCCAAATGGTTTTCACCCCATAAAGTACCTAAAGCTTGGTAATGCACAAATGCCATGTCATTTTCTACAGAAATTTAGAGTTGGCAGAGGAAGGCTTAGAAATTAAGTGCCTGAAAGCCAGTAACCAGGCCCAGAGATCTCCAAGGACTGCTGTCCAGTCCAAAATTCCATGACATCTGCACTACAGCCTTGAATAAAAACCAGAATGCCAGGATCCAATACAGTGAGAATTTATTTCATAGTTATCAAAGCAAACCAAAGGTTATCAGTGGGTTGGACATTTAAAGATTAAGTACAGCTGATCGCACTCAACTCTTATGCAGGTAGCTTAACTCCAGTGGTTCTGGTCTCTCTCTGAAGGGAAAATAGAGGTGTTTATGATCCTGTATCCTAATGGGTTCCAGGTGACTCAGGCTAGGCGGCTGAGTCAGGCCCTCTATTCTTTGATTTACATGGCAGGATCCAGGCCATCCCTAAATTGAAAAGATATAGTAATGAGCAAATGCCGAAAAAGAAAAGAGGAAAAAAAAGAGCTAGGGGAAAACCTGGAGTGCTTTTCCAAGTCCAAAGTGAGCTATGGCTGCCCTCTCTGCTCAGAAGGTATGATCATAAATTACTGGCTAATGTTTAGCACTGGGGCTCTGGCCCATGATCTATTACAGAGGACAAGATGCCTCCAAGCAGAAAACACTGTAATTGGGGAGCAATAACATCTGTGTCAGTCATGAGACTGCAGTTAAAGTGAACTGAGAAGTTACAGGCTATAATATGCACATTTTTTAGCTAAAAAGATATGTCATCAAGATATGGGCCTCTTTACATTCTTTTGTGTCACAATAGCCTGAAGAGAATCAGTAGGACCCCCAGATTTCTGTTTTAACGTTAGCATGATGTTAGCCAACAACTCAAGGGAATTATAGTTTATAAAGCAAAGGAGTCTAAGGAACTCAGAATATGGGCTTGGTTTTCTGGAGCACAGATTCTAGTTCATAGCAATGCTCTGCTATACTGAGCAGGTCACATAATCTCTCTGAGCGTCCTAATCTAGCAAGGTCAAAGAATTCATTCAGGATAGAGCTGAGACTTAAAAACGCAGACCTTCTGGCTATAAATTCTGTCATTTTCCCAGTATGTCTCTGTTATGAAATTGATATTTAAATAGTTATAATACGAACAAATGCCCAGTTATTCAGGAACTGAAATGTGTGCAAGAGACTTTTGTTTTTGAGTAGATCAAAATAAAAGAGAACTGCTTTATCATAACTTTCCATTTTAAAAATTCTTCAGTAGCATAATAATGGCTAAAAATTCAAACTATTTAAAAGTGTTCAGGGTGGGAGGGGCAAGAGCTGAAATAGTACCTATTGAATACTATGCTCACTATCTGGGTGATGGGATAATTCATACCTCAAACCTCATGTAACAAACCTGCTGAACCTAAAAGTTGAAAAAAAAAACATAAATAAGAAGTAAAATAGAAGTGTTCAGGAAAAAAAAAAAAACTACCAGTTGTGGATAGTCTAAAAAAGGGGTCCTCAACCCCCAGGCCATGGACTAATATGAGTCCTTGGCCTATTAGGAACTGGGCCTCACAGCAGCAAGTGAGTGGCGGGCAAATAAGTAAAGCTTCATTTGTATCTAGAGCTACTCCCCATTGCTCACATGACCACCTGAGCTCTGCCTCCTGTCAGATTAGTGGCAACCCTAGATTCTCATAGGAGCACGAACCCTATTGGGAACTGTGCAAGTGAGGGATCTAGGTTGCATGCTCCTTATGAGAATCTTATGCCGGATGATCTGAGGTGGAGCTGACGCAGTGATGCCAGGGAGTGGCTGCAAATACAGATTAACATTAGCAGAGAGGTGTGACTGGACAGAGACCTTAATCAATCAATTGCTTGTGGACTCATACCAAAATCCTATCGGTGAGTGGCAAATGACAAGCCGCATCTGGTGTCAGGCTTTATAGTAAGTGAGTTGATGGACTTTGATTGCACAGCTGCATCTAGTGGCAGGCTTTAAGTTAGAATCTGACACTTATTTCAGTCTGCACGTGGCCTGCCCATTATTTTATTTACCACTTCGATCCGTGCCGCTTTCCTGCACTGTGCACCTGTCTCAGTCACAGTTTTGGTAAGCCCACAAGTTATTCGGAGCCAGAATGAGTGAAAAACAAATGTAACTGGAGAGCTTCTTTGAAAAGAGAGAAAGATCCAATGATGAGAGAGCAGAAGACTCTAAGACTGCCAACAAAAAGAAATTTTCATTTAAAAGAAAACACCAAGAGTCCTACTTAAATTACAGTTTCATTGCAGGAAGTGATTCATCTTCTCCAAGCCTGCTTTGTATAATATGTGGTGACTGGCTATCCAATGAAGCCATGAAACCTTCCAAACTGCTTCGCCACATGGATACCAGGTACCCTGCATTAAAAGACAAGCCTTTGGAGTTTTTCCAAAAGAAGAAAATGTGAACACAAAGAACAGAAGCAATTATTGAGGGCCACCACTTCATCAAATGTGTCTGCACAGAGAGCATCATTCTTAGTGGCTAATTGCCTTGCTAAAGATAAGAATCCCTTTACTATTGGTGAAAAGTTGATCCTGCCTGCTGCTGAGGACATCTGTCATTAACTTTTTTTTTTTTTTTTGAGATGGAGTCTCACTCTGTTCCCCAGGCTGGAGTGCAGTGAAGTGATCTCAGCCCACTGCAACCTCCGCCTCCCAGATTCAAGAGATTGTGCTGCCTCAACCTCCTGAGTAGCTGGGACTACAGGCACCTGCTACCACGCATGGCTAATTTTCGTATTTTTAGTAGAGATGGGGTTTTGCCATGTTGGCCAGGCTAGTCTCAAACTCCTGACCTCAAGTGATCCCCCTGCCTTGGCCTCTCAAAGTACTGGGACTACAGGCGTGAGCTACCACACTTGGCCTGTCATGAACTTTTAGAAGAGGCTGTGGTTCAAAAGGTGGCATGTGTTCCTCTTTCAGCTAGCACCAAAACTAGGTGAATTAATGAAATAGCAGAGGATATGGAAGCACAATTGTTAGAGAAAATTAATGAGCCACTGTGGTATACAATCCAGGTTGACAAGTCTACTGATGTTGACAACAAGGCAACAATGCTTATTTTTGTGTGATTTATTTTTCAGGAGGATGTGCATGAGGAGATGCTATATGGACTTTTGTTGCCAACCAACACCACAGCTGCAAAACTATTCAAGTCTTTGAATGATTACATGTCAGGAAAACTGAATTGGTCATTTTGGGTAGGTGTACTCATGGATGGAGTGGCAGCCATGACTGGATGGTTTTCTGGTTTCACTACTTGGGTCAAAGAGGTTGCTTCAGAATGTAAGCCTATGCACTATTGTCATCCCTAGAGCTGGCTAGCCAAAAAACATGACCTGAACTTAACAATGTTTTGAAGGGTGTGCATAAATTATCAACCATAATAATGTACATGCCCTTAACTCATGTCTGTTCACTCAGCTCTGTGAGGAGATGGGCATGGAGCACATCTTCTCTTATACACAGAAGTGAGATGGCTTTCTAAAAGTAGATCACTGGCCAGAGTTTTTGAGTTATGAGAGCCACTCCAGATATTTCTTTTAGAAAAACAGTCACCACTGACAACACATTTCAGTGACACAGAATGGGTCACAAAACTTGCTTACTTATGGGACATAGTCAACCTGCTCAATAAAATCAATATGTCACTTCAGGGGAGAGTGGCAACTATATTCAAGCTGCCAGACAAAGTGGCTTCCTTCAGGGCAATGAGTAAACATTGGGAACTGGAATTTCTGACATGTTTCAAACATTAGCAGAGATTTTGAAAGAGACTGATACAGGGCCTTCTTTTCCCAGCTGGTGCATGATCCCTACCTCAGCTTTCAAAAGAGTTTGAGTATTACTTCCAAACCACAAAAGACTCCCAAACTGGGAAGGAATGGATCTGTGGCCCATTTGTTAATATGCCAGGTGAACAGATTTTGTCCATACTGGAAGAGGATCAACTGCTTGAGACTGCAAATGATGGTGGCCTTAAAAGTATATTTGAGGCAACTTCAAATCTCCATAGTTCTGGATTAAAGTCAAGGTAAAAAATTCTGTGATTGCCACAAAACCACTGAAAAGCCTGCTTCCATTTCCAGCATCTTATCTTAGTGAAGCAAAATTTTCTCTAGTGACAGCAACCAAAATGAGCTTACGGCATAGATTGGACACAAGCAACACAATTTGGTGTCCCTCTCTTCCATTACCCCCAGGTGGGACCACCCAGTTGCAGGAAAACAAGCTCAGAGCTCCTACTGATTCTACGTTATGATAAGTTTCATAATTATTTCATTATATGTTACAATAAAAATGAAGTGTATAATAAATGTAATGCAGTTGAATCATCTCAAAATCATCCTTCCTACTCTACCTCAGTCTGTGGAAAAATTATCTTCTGTGAAACTGGTCCCTGGTGACAAAAAGGTTGGGGACCACTGATTGACAGAGCTTTTAGTTGAGTTAAAAGTTTTGCATAAATGAACAGCCTCTGAGTTTCTTTCAGCTTTCATAATTGATGTTTCCTTACTGTATAGGCCAACTGAGCCCGAAGTCCACTTGTGATTTCGGCACCTCTTTTTTCATAGTATGACCAGGACTTTCCCAGTTTATGCTGTAAGTCCTATGCTCTGGAACTGAGTCCCAGACAAACAAGGGATCACCCTACTTCTTACCACCATGCTGTGTCTCCTTGACCCTTGTCCAAAACAGCACAGCGCGCTTAACTGCACCTTCCCACCCATGGAAAAGCCTAAGCGCACACAACAAAAAGTCTTTGTCACCTACACTCTGGATCTTGTGCAAACCCAAAGGAGGCTTCGCCTTCTACTTTCATTCCAACCTGCACACTTAGGTATCTTGGCAAGTACCTAGGTTTGTTTCTCTGGTTAGCCCTCTTGGAGAAATGCTTCAAGCGAACCACCTGCTTGGCTTCACCACCAAACATGAGCTTCACACCTCCCAGCCCAACATTTCTGTTGCCAGGCCAATGAATCAATTTTTAATACATAGCCCAAAACCATGTGCCCAAAATACCTAAATTAGGGATATTCCTAAAATAGCACTTAATGAGCTTAGTTTTTCTAATTAACTTCTATTTTTCCATATACAAAAAGGATAGGAAAGTCTTCCAGAAAAATGGACAATGTCCTTGGGTTATTTTGTAGCCTCTAATGCTGCTAAACTGGTGGAGAGAAGTGGAGAGGTTGAAAAGAAGACTTTAAGATGTCCCACTTAACCAACTGTTAAAAAATGCTGTGAGAGTCTGATCCCTTCATTCATCCACCTGACGCATTAGAACAAACTTTCTCCTGTCACAGAAACTTCTATTTGTCTACCCAGTATTTATTTATTTTTCTTTACTTTCCTTTTTTCTTACTAACAGAATGTCAATTTTCTTCCAGGTATTTATTTATTCT